ATTTTTTTTAATAGCTCCTTGAAAATTGAACAAAACAGTTCTTGTTGCTCTTATTTCTTGATAACATCATTCCCTCTGCATGGATGTATAGAATCACAGAAACTAGAGAATGGAAAAGATATATTAGATCATGTCTAGGCTGTTCCCAGTGGTTACAGTTCTTTTTTTCCCACACTCTGTACTCTGTAGTGCTTTTCTCAAGAATTAGTTTTTCCATTTCTCCTGGGGAATAATTCCTTAGTTTGACCATGGAGGAATGTATGTGCAAATATCCATAGTCTTTTTTTTTTTCCAGCCTGATATTCCTATTCTTCATAACCCTTTACATTAGCATAAACAGCCCCTCTTCATCCTAAGTCAAGTATTTCTGGATGGTATTTTTTTTTTCTCTTCCATTTATTAAGTTCAGAGCTTGTTTTTCTGCTTTGCTTTCTCTCTTCATCAATCAGTCCCTAAAGCCCATTAATCATTTTTTTTACCTCGCTGAAAGCTTCTTTGCTTATTCCCATATCAGGAACCCAGGGCTGGTTGAGGTCCCAAAGAACCTCACTGATATGTGCTTATTCTATCCTCTCTTTCTATCTCTCTCATCCCCCACCCCCAGCCTCAGTTCGCAACCACAAGCTGTTTTCTACAAAATATTTCTAAATTATGATTTGGGGAATTAGTCATATTAGTCATTGCGAGGCTGTGTGCGTGTGTGTGTGCACGCACGTGGTTTTAAGTGGTAAGATTATATTTGTTCTCAGTTACTTAAAGGATATTTTTCATATCCTCGGAGCCACAAATCTTTCAGGTCTCCTGAGTGCTTGGATTGAGAATAATTTGGACCATGGAGCTATGATGCATCAGTAGAATGTAGCATTCTGTTTTAGAGCTGTCATCTCAGAAGTAAAGAGGAAAATATGCAGATATGGGGAAAACAGACTGTATTTGTAGGATTTAGGATTCTTGGGGAAGGGGAAAGGCAAAATTTAAATAGCCTTGGCCCGCACATACCTAAAGAAGATTAGCTCTTAGAAGCTAGTGTTAGGTATATAGACTTTTTATTATGTCACTTTCTTTTTTTTTGTATCTCAATTATATTGAGTTATAATTGACAAATGAAATTGTAAGACTTATTTTGCTTAAGATAATACCCTCTGGTTCCATCTACATCATTGCAAATGGCAAGATCTCATTTTTTTGGTGGCTTTTATCATATGATCTCACTGATATGTGGAATTTAAGAAACAAAACAGAGGATCATAAGGGAAGGGAGAAGAAAATAAAACAAGATGAAATCAGAGAGGGAGACAAATCATAAGAGACTTTTTTTTTAAGATTTTATTTATTTATTTGACAGAGAAAGAGACAGTGAGAGAGGGAACACAAGTAGGGGGAGTGGCAGAGGGAGAAGCAGGCTTCCCGCTGAGCAGGGAGCCCAATGAGGGCCTCGATCCCAGGACCCTGGGATCATGACCTGAGCCGAAGGCAGATGCTTAACGACTGAGCCACCCAGGTCCCAAAAGACTCTTAATCATAGGAAACAAACTGAGTGTTGCTGGAGGGTAGAAGGGGCAGGGGGATGGGGTAATAGGGTAATAGACATTAAGGAGGGCACGTGATGTAATGAATACTGGGTATTAGATAAGACTGATGAATCACTGACCTCTACCTCTGAAACCAGTAATACATTATATGTTAATCAACTGAATTTAAATTAAAAAATAAAAAAAATAAAGAAAAAAGAAATTGTAAGATATTTAAAGTGTACATCACAGTGATTTGATATACATATGTGAAAGGGCTCCCTCCGCCTGGTTAATTAACACACCATCACCTTACGTGTTTATCTTCACTTATTTGTTTGTTTTGGGTGAGAATATTTAAGTTCTACTCTCTTAGCAAATTCTACTTATACAATACAGTGTTATTAACTATAATCACCATGTTTTACCTCAGATCCTCATATGCTATATGGCTTCCTGGATTGGGGGACCTAATATTATAAAAACACCCAAAGCAATCTATAGACTCAATGCAATCTCAATCAAAAATCCTAACAGTTTTTTGTTTTGTTTTTTTTCCTCTTGGAACTTGACAAGGTGATTCTAAAATGCATAGGGAAGGGATGCCTGGGTGGCCCATTTGGTTAAGCGTCTGCCTTCGCCTCAGGTCATGATCCCAGGGTCTTGGGATCGAGCCCCACGTCTGGCTCCCTGCTCAGTGGGGACCCCGCTTCTCCCTCTGCCACTCCCCCTGCTTGTGCTCTCTCTCTCTGATAATAAATAAATAAATAAATAAAATCTTTTAAAAAATAAAATGTATAGGGAAATATAAAAAGCCAAGGATGGGTGAGCTAATTCTTAAAGATGAAAGTAAAAAAATTTGCTCCCAAGACTTACTAAAAAGGCACTGTGGTACTGATCAGAGATAGACACACAGACCGATGGGACAGAATAGAAAGACCAGATACAGACACAAGCATAAAGAGATGCTTGATTTATGACAGAAGTGACGTTCAAGAGTAATGGTCAAAGCCAACCTTTTCCATAAATGGCACTGGAACAATCTGATATCTCCATATGGGGGGAAAGAAAGAAAAGGAATTGGATGCCTACCTTACACCATATGCAAAAAACTCCAAATGGATACAGACTTAAATGTCAAAGATAAAACTTTAAAGCATACTCACACATGCATATACATATGCTTTATATATGCTTTGTATATGTATATATGTATAAACACTCTTATGTTCATGACCTCAAGGTATTGAAAGAGTTCTTGTATGCCATAAAAATCTCTAGTCAAAAATTATATATTTGGTAAAATTAAGGATATCTCTTCATTAAAAGATAACATAAAGAAGACAAATAGCTACACAATGAGAGAATATATTGGCCATACATGTAATTGATAAACTATTAGTATCCAGGATATATAAAAATACCTAAATCAATAAAAAGACAATCCAATCTGAGAAAAATAGGCAAAATAACTTAAGTAGGCTCTCCACAGAAGAGGAAATAAAAATGGCCAATAACCATAAGAGTTCTCAACTTCTTTAATAATCAAAGAAATGCAATTAAACCATCATGAGATTCCACCTCGTATCCACCATATTAGATCAAAATAAAAAAACTGGCAGTGTTGATGAGGATGAGGAGCAACAGAAATTGATGGTAGAAATTGCAATATGTTACATATTTTGGAAGGGTTTAGCACACTGTAGTACACTTGAAGATACATAATGCATACCTTAGGACCCAGCAATTAGGTATATACACTAGAAAAAGTTGATGCACAGAACACAAAGATACATGTATAAAAATGTTCTTTTTTTTCTCTCCATAAGTTATTTTTAGAAACTGGCAAGCCTACAGAAAAGCTGCAAAATTAATACAATGAATTTCATAAAGCCTTACTGGATAGTAGCTAGTGGAAAGAACATACATGGGCTTTGAAGTAAGTGAAATTGGCTTGATATCCCAACTTCACCACTTACTAGCTGTGTGACCATGGGCAGTCTCTAAAGATCAGCGAGCCTCAGTTATCTCATCTGTAAATCAGAGGTAATAAAATGCCTACCATATTGGGTATTGTAAGGATTAAACACATTAATGTATACCAGACCGTGAGCATAAATGCCTACAACATAGTTGTCCAGCAAATTATGGCTGCCATTATTAATATTTTGTTGCTGTTAAAAATGATGGCTCATTTTATTTCTTCAGAACCTCTTAATGACAGCACATTTACTGATACATATTCATTTTTCATGTTTCACTACAGAATGCAAAATGATTCAAGAGAGAAATAGCATTTTTTTCATCCTGTATTACATTTTTCCTTCTCATTTTCCTATTACAACTTCAATATTAGAAAGTACAAACCAGTAGGAAAACATGCCCTTAACAAAAATGTTTTTATAATTTAAAAAAATTTTACAGAATTAAAAAACTCCCTTTGAAGAAATAAAAGTATGATTTAACAAAAGTAAAAGGAAACTGAAGCACAAAAAAGTTAAATAACTTGATCAAGAAGCAATATTTAATTAATCTTACTAACTTGATCAAGAAGCAATATTTAATTTAATTAATCTATTTCTAATAGAGAAATAGATTGTAGAAATAGAGTGTAGGTTTTCTAATTTCTAGCCCAAGATCCTACACACTAAGTTGTAATATCAGCAATTATTTCTAAAGAAAACTGAATTAAGTAAATAGCAGTAGCCTTCAGCCCTAATGCTGTGACTTCCTTGCCTTAACTACAAAATGAACGAAATCACATGTAAAACCCTCCAGGCCCCTTTAATCTCCAGTGAAATTTGATTCTGTGTCTGAAGTCTTTCTCACTGACCCCCAGATCCACAGTCATCTTTTCCTCTTGGGAACTCTGCCTGTACCCCACTGTTTATGTTTGCAAACTGCTTATGATCATGTTGTCACGCTGTACTGTTACATATCTCTTCGTAAACCTATCCTCTATCTCCAATTAGATTGCACTGCTTGGGGTTGCAGACTTTCTTATGTGCCTTTGTATTTATACGTTTTTGAGTGAAAAAAAAAAAAATCCAGAACTCAGAGAGGGAAACAAACCATGAGGGACTCTGGACTCCAGGAACCAAACTGAGGGCTACAGAAGGGAGGGGGGTGGGCAGATGGGGTAACCGGGTGATGGGTATTAAGGAGGACACATGTGGTGATGAGCACTGGGTGTTATATGCAACTAATGAAACATTGAACACTACAACAAAAACTAATGATGTACTATATGCAGGCTAACTGAACATAACAAAAAGAAAAAATCCAACCACATTTTAAATTTCATTTTCTGTCCCTAATAGCCCCTAATATAGTGCTTTGCACAGACACAAAATAAATGCATAAGGATAATGACTGTCAGATTACAGCTGTAAGTAAGAAATAGAACTAGTCACCATTGCTACAGTAACATGGGTGTAGGATCCATGGATTCTGCCTTGAAAGCAAATGCTTGTTTTTCGTCTGTTCCAGAAAGATGCTGTGAAGCGAGTATTCTCTGGCATTCAGCCTACAGGAATCCCCCACCTTGGCAATTACCTGGGAGCCATTGAGACCTGGGTGAGGTTGCAGGAAGAGCATGGCTCAGTGCTGTACAGCATCGTTGACCTACACTCCATCACTGTCCCCCAGGACCCAGCCGTCCTTCGGCAGAGCATCTTGGACATGACTGCTATTCTTCTCGCCTGTGGCATAAACCCAGAGAAGACCATCCTTTTCCAACAATCTCAGGTCAGCTTCTCACATTAGAACCAAGAAAACTTGTATTTTCAAAGTATTTGAGGAAAACTTTGAAGGAAAGTTTATATAGCTCCTGTTTGTGATCCTTTTTAAAATTGTTCAAGAGTGACTTCATCAGCTGCTATGATTTCATCTTCATGTTTACCCTATATTCATATCTTTAAATGTTATCATAATGAAAATAGTATTTTTCACCTTTTCCTCCACTATTCTTGCTTCATGTACCAAAATGTTGCATCTCATTAGTACTTGTAAGTCTGAAATTGTTTTTCTCTACTTGGTTGCATCCAAACTGCTGAATTCATACTGTTGACTAATCTCCTGGTGATCAAGGATAGAATTTAGCAACCAGTGGTTTTGCATAACTTCAATGTTGCTTTACTGGGTATTGCATTTGGAAGGCCTATTGGATAATTCCCATTGTTCCTTCTTTGTATAATAGCTTTTGAGAAGACTTGAGAGAACTAGTTGGGAAATTGGAAGACAACGTCCAGTCTCTTGAGTCCAAGCCAAGAAAAGCTTCATAACAAAGCCAAAATATTCGACTGATATCATCACTATGATGAATCAGTTTACTCTTGGACGCGCAGATAGCCTGGACCAGACAGGGCACTTAAGAGACTCTATAGCAAGGAAGATGAAAAATTTAACTGGATCATGCCCTCATTGCATATCCGCTTGAACCTTGTGACAAAGCCACAGCCCAGGAACAGTATGTTATACATGTTTGCTACATGTTAACATGTATGCATATGTGGTATGGGTTATCCATGTGTGTATCTCTTGCCTTGATCATAAACTTCTGACAATCGCCATTTTTATGTATATGTTATCACCCACAGAACTTAGTATTCACAGAGAGTGACCCTTTAAAAAAAAATGTAAGAGATGAATATCTTTAAAAATAATAATTTTAAAATTTAAAAATAATAATAAATAAAAATAATATTTAAAGATAATATTTAAAATATTTATATAATTTTTATATAATAATTATTTATATAATAAATAAAATATTTAAAAATAAATATATTTAGGGCACCTGGGTGGCTCAGTTGGTTGAGCGACTGCCTTCGGCTCAGGTCATGATCCTGGAGTCCCGGGATCAAGTCCCGCATCGGGCTCCCTGCTCGGCAGGGAGTCTGCTTCTCCCTCTCCCACTCCCCGTTTGTGTTCCCTCTCTCACTGTGTCTTTCTCTGTCAAATAAATAAATAAAATCTTTAAAAAATAAAAAAAAATAAAAAATAAATAAATAAATATATTTATCAACTTAAAACTTGTTTCCAGCTTGGAAATAATGTGATAATAGAATCTGACCATTAAAATGTCCATAAAGGCAATTTACCTCCATTTCCTTCCTCACATTCAGTCAGAGAGCCTTTACGTACACATAACTTTTCAAATTCAATCTTGGACTGATCTAATGGTTTTAAATATATAAATATACTTGCTTATGTTGAGCAGATACGTGTCTCCCTATAATTTCCATCCACTCATTTTACTTATGCTCTCTACGAATACATAGTAAATCAACTCTGTCTTCCACATGACTACTCTTGAAATACTCAGAGACATTTGTTACATGCTAGCCTTACCCAACAGGTCCTTACCCCATAGGTCTTACCTTCCTCAAGCTAGTTGTCCCACCTCAGGAGCTCTCTCGCCATCTGTTTGAAAGAAATGTGCCTGTCCTATTTCATGAAACAGTGTTTATTCACACTCTTTAAGTCTGTTTCTGACATCATAATACTGATCATCGTTAGAACCACTTTGTAGGTTACCTGATACATTTTCACTTCATCTAAGCTGTTTTTGATACAAGCTCCCTTTTGATCCTTATGTGATACCATTTCTAAAAATCGTGTATTCCCAGTGCCTATTTCCATACTTCTGGAAGGCAAAAATATCTACATCTCCACAAAGTAACCAGTTGCCAGACTGCTTTGTTAAGTGATGTTTAAAATTAAAGGCTCATTTCAGCCACATCCGATGCTTGCACTTTGAGCTCATACCCCCAGGAATGATCACCACGTTATAATTTTTGGCAGTGATTTCTGCAAGCATCTAAAATTTGCAATAATTGAGGTCTCTTCTTCAACATGGTACTTTGTTGTTCAAAACAGCAATTGAAAGGGTCGCCCACAGTGTGGGAGACTTTGTAAGAATTCCCTCATAGATGAGGGATCATGAAAGTCACCTTCCTTTTGTTTTTTTTTTTATGTTATGTAATGAGCTCCTTGGTTCCTGTAGTGGTTGTGGGTCTAGGTCAGAGAGGGCAGGTCGCTGGTGTTGCCTGTTTCCTCAGTGGCCTCATGCAGCTCCACCCTGTCTCACAGGTCCCCTCCAGGGAGTTTGGGTAGCCTGCCAGGAAAATGTGAGGGAAGTACTCATCTGCCCACAGTCTACACTTTGTCCCACAAAGACAGTATGCAAGACTTCTTCAGGTGTCTTTCTGACCTCAAGACATATTTGGTCTGGGCCATTCCCTTTTTTAACTAAGGCAACCAACCTTAATACAACTCAGTGGATAGACTGGATATTTTATCAGGTTTTCTTTCCTTTCTTAAATATTTAATAAAGAAAAATTTAAATACGTATAGAAGAGTAGGGAGAATAGTGTACCGTACACCCCATCACTTACTAGCATTTTGTGATTTGTCTCATCTCACTTGTTTTTTGTTGTTGTTGAAGTCTTTTTTTTTTTTAAGATTTATTTATTTATTTGAAAGAGAAAGAGAGAGAGTGTGCACGTGAGAGAGGGAGGGGCAGAGGGAGAGGGAGAGAAAGTCTTAAGCAGACTCTGCGCTGAGCGTGGAGCCAAGTGCAGGGCTAAAAGGAGGTACTTGTCATGGGGCTCAATCCCACAACCCTGAGATCACGACTCTGAGTCAAAACCAAGAGTCGGATGCTTAACTGCCTGTACCACCCAGGTGCCCTGGTTGTGGTTTAAGTATTTTAAAACAGATAACACACATCATGGCATTTCTGTCCCTAAATATTTCAGTGTGCCTCTCCATAAACTGAGGAAATTTTCTTACATAACCACCATACTGTCATCACACCTAACAAAGCTATGAAAATTCCATATGATCATCTAATATCCAGTCCATATTCAAGTTATGCTGATTCTCCCAAAATGTCTTTTACATCTGGCTTGTTTAAATAATGATCCAATGAAGGTCCACACATTACATTTTTTTCATATCTTTTTATTTGTTGCTGAAGTTTTATTTTTATTTCCCATAAAGTTGATCCTGCATTTGAAAAGAATTAAAAACTTAGATTTTTAGGGGGCGCCTGGGTAGCTCAGTGGGTTAAGTGTCTGCCTTCAGCTCAGGTCATGATCCCAGGGTCCTGGGATCAAGCCCCACATCGGGGCTCCCTGCTGAACAGGGAGCTTCTCCCTCTCCCTCTGCTGTTCTCTCCCACTCTCTCTCTCAAATAAATAAATAAAATCTTTAAAAAAAACTTAGATTTTTATACTCCCACTTTTTTCATGCCTTTGATATGTTAATCGGGTTTCCTTTTATTTAGTATAAAATTAGCTCTTTTGAACACAAAAATAAACCTTATAATTTTTTGTTCCTTTCTCTTTGTGCTGATGTATATTGACTGATGGTTAGTGGCTATAAACTGCCATTCACATAGTTGCTCATCGCCATTTTTGATAGTTTGAATAGAAACTCTGCTTGCCTAGTGCCCATAGAATGCCCGGACATCAGTCCCTTCAAAGCAGCCATGAGGCTTCTGTTGGTTCAAGGAGGATGGTGGGAAGGTCTTCCTCATGCTATATCTTGAAAGTATGAAGGCATGTACTGGATTTGCTTCTTAGAACCGTTCTCAAGTAGGAGTATAATCGGATAAGCTAGTGTCCCTGAAACAGTGATTATTCTAGACAGCTGGCCCCATATTTGCAGTGTTCTAGTAGGTGGAAGAAGCCTCGTGGTGTCTGTGTTTTGTGTCTTATCATACAGTAGTTAACAACTGCCTTTGTCAGTCTGTGGAGTCTCTAATAGATGGAGACTGAAAAGAAAATACTCATAGCATTGTCAGATTTAGAAAAAAAAAATGAGAAGTCATGTTTATTAGAAAACTAATAATTTTCAGTGTGTAAGATCTAAGAAGCCTTTCATGTATATGAACTCACTTTTAATCCTCGAAAGAGCACATGAGTTAGGCATTACTATTCTTTCACAGATGAATAAATTAAGGTATGAAAAGATGGAGTAAATTATAAAATGTCCTTAAAACCATCTCTGAATGGTGCCTGGTACTTAGTAAATGCTTAACAAATATATCTTCTTAATTTAACGACAGGTCATCCAGGTGACAAATCCAGGACTCTTTTTTTTAATTTTCTTCCTAAAACACCGCTTTTAGAAGGTGTTCTCATGGGAGAGAACCTTATGCTGCGCACCCCGCCCCCATGCCTTTGCCTCAGTAGCTGATGGCAGAGAGGCAGTGGAGAGCCGAGCTGACCCCAAGGTCCTCATTATTTCTTGCCTGGACACTCCTCTCACCCCCTTCACTCCTGCCTCAGGCTCTCGTGGCAGCAGCCCATCCCCCACACTGTAGCCATGCTCATCTTTTGACCTCAGATACCTCAGCACCTCTCTCCTTACCCTCAGGGTAAAAATCTAAGCTCAGTTTCTAGAAATCCCTTCAAGAATGAGGCCCCTGATATAGATAGACAGATAGATATGATGGAATATTACTCAGCCATAAAAAAGAATGAAATCTTGCAACTTGCAACAACATGGATGGAACTAGAAAGTATAATGCCAAGTGAAAGAAGTCACTGAAAGACAAATGGCATATGATTTCACTTGTGTGGAATTTAAGAAACAAAACAAATAAGCAAAGTAAAAAAGAAGACAAACCAAGAAATAGGCTTTTTAAAAAATTATTTATTTATTTATTTGTCAGAGAGAGAGAGAGCACAAACAGGGGGAGTGGCAGGCAGAGGGAGAAGCAGGTTTCCCTGCTGAGC